AGACGTTTCCACCCACTCTGCTCACAAAACTCAGCACTGCCGCTAATAAGCAGCTTAGACTGGTTGCCAGTAGGGTATGCGAAACGCCACGCCTTTGAGCCCAGCTCATAGCCTACAAGATCATCTTCCTAGATCTTGGCTCACCCTTTCTGCGCATGGCCTTTGGAATGAGGACCCAAGCCTCACAGCCAAAAACGCGGAAGTAGTGCACTTTCGGTTTCTTCTGATGCAGTAAGAAATATGGTGTGTTGCCTACACTGGAATTGTACATCCTGTTCTGCAAAAAACATGCTGTCTTATAACTCTCAGCCCAAAAGCGCTGTGGCAAACCCGAGTCTGCCAACATAGCGTTCACTGCTTCCTGTAGCGTGCGAAATTTTCTCTCTGCAACCCCGTTCTGTTGCGGAGAGTAGGGGGCAGTCAATTGATGACTGATACCCTTCTGCCTGAAAAACGATTGCAGCGCAGAACCTGTGAACTCCCCCCCGCGATCAGATTGAAAGGAAATCACCCTGGTAGAGAACCGCAGCTCTACCGCTGTGATCCAATCCCTGATCAGTGCAGCTGCTTCTGACTTCTGTTTAAGCGAGAAAACCCAAGAATGCTTTGAAAAATCGTCAATCAGAAACAGAACCCATTTAGACCCAGCTAAAGAAGGTGTTGGCATGGGCCCTGATAAATCTGCATGCACAAGTTCAAAGGGTTTGCTGGTTCTTCTCTCTGACCTGGGGTATGTGCATGTTGTGACCTTCGATTGCTTACAGGCTTGACAATCTAGGTATCTGTTACATGCCTCGAACCTACACCCAATTGTGTTGTCAGTGGCTTTCCTCACATATGACCACCCAACATGCCCAAATCTCCTGTGCCACAGGTGCATACAATCATGGTGTGGTGGGACATTTGCACACTGCACTTGGGCGTCTTTAATGGACTTTCCACTAGCCCCATCTTCCACCAGTCCCATTTTTCTACCAGTCCCATTTTCAATAGGCATCTCCACCAGAAAGAGCCTGTCTTTCCTCTCAACACTGTAGAGCTTCTTCCCATTCCTGTAGAAGGAACACACATTGTTAGAGAACAGAACATCAAACCCATCAGCCATAAGAGCTGATACACTTAAAAGAGAATGTGCAAGCTCTGGAACCAAAAAAGCTTGCACCTCGTGATCTATAAAAGAACAATATAAAAACCCAGTTTCAGTCAATGGTCTCTGGGACCCATCCGCAAATGTGGCATAGCGTCCAGTTTTAACTGTCTTGCAGTTCCTCAGGAGCTCTCGAGATGTCACGAGGCAATGTGAAGCTCCCGAGTCAATAACAAGAGATAAAGTGTCTCTCTGGCTGTTTTCCAAAGTTGCCATGGCGTTGCTCGCACCCCCACCGGTTGCCATGGTTGCTGCAAGGCCTTTGCCGGTGTTCTCACGCTTCGCCATCTGAGAACTGTTGCTTATCTGCCTTAGCAGGTGGCTGACCTTGCATTCCAGCGCCTCTGCAGAACAATGCCCTTCGCTGTTGGACTTCGCCTCAGAGCACAAACAACTTTCGGAGACTTTGGCTTTCCCAGAGCTCTTGGATCGGCCTGCACCCCCACTCCTGGGTGCCCAGCTTCCTGAGGAACGGACTGCAACTGCCTTCCTCTTCCCAGCTCTCAGCCTCTCTCCCGGACCATCACACAGATGTGTTGAAGCATAGAAACAGCTTCCTGAAACAGTCCCAGCCCCCTCTGGGCTTCTTCTAGCCCCCTCTGGTCTGGCTCCCACTGTGGCCTGACATGCCGTCTTCAGTGCCTGCCACGCGACCCAGGGCTTCCTCCCTTGGAGCTTTGGCAACAGCCAAGCATCAACGCTGGCCCTTAAAATGGCTAGCACCCTTTGCTCTCTCTCCAGAGCATCAGCCACGTCTGCTTCACAAGCTTCCACTGCTCCTGCAGACTTCTCAGCCTCTGCAGCTGCAGCATTGGGCTGGGCAAATACTGGATCGGCTTGCGTGCACTCCCAAAGCTGCTTTCCCCCCAGCCAATAATACATGCGCTTGCTCCAGTCCTCCCAATTGGCCCCATTCAGTTTTTCGAAGGGGATATTATAGCTCTCATGGCCCTGCTGTGCCTGGGCAGCAGCCATCTTCCACCCACCGGGGCTTTAAGCGTACTCATGCGTTTGCCAGTAAGCTGGACCTCCGAAGCAGCCTTCCTTCTTGGCTTTTGGCTCCGCTCTCCAGCATTCCTCACTGCCCTTCCTGGCAGGAGCTCTCAGCAACGCAACGCTGGCAGTCTTCCTCCCTTCTCACACTTGTCAGGAAACACGTAACTTCCATAACCTTTGGGTAAATAAATCCTGCGTCCAGTCAGGCTTCCCTGTGTGGCTCTGCTCGGGAGCTGACCTGGCAGGAGAGCAGAGTAGCAGCGGTCCTGCGTCCGTGTGAGATGAGGGATAAATCAAGTCCAAAGACAGATTGGTTCTTATCTCTAGAAGCGTTTATTTACAAAGCAGTAAATCCATCAGAAACCTCTGACATTCTCTTCAAAAGCACACACAAAAGCACAGCCTCTGAGCTGAGCTGCGTCTCAAGCAGAAGCGAAAGCAAGTCTGAAAAAGTGACACAGACTGTGACGCGCTTCTCTGCGTTAAGCTCCTCCCAGATACAGGACACCACGGAGTTTTAACCCTGTCAGTTCCAGACTCCACAATACAGTACAATAGAACTTCCTTTGCATGTCTGGAGCCTGAGGCGAGTCAGGTGATGAGATTTGGCTTCCTTTGGCTAACAATGAACCCAGCAATTGTCACCTCTGAGAACTTCCTGGAGTCCTTTTGCAAGGGGAAAAATAGCTTTGGAATGGAGGGAACTGGGAAAGGAGATGGTTTTATATTATTTTAAAGCTAGGTAACTTCCCTGACGGGACGCGGGTGGCGCTGTGGGTAAAACCTCAGCGCCTAGGACTTGCCGATCGCATGGTCGGCGGTTCAAATCCCCGCGGCGGGGTGCGCTCCCGTCGTTCGGTCCCAGCACCTGCCAACCTCTCAGTTTGAAAGCACCCCCAGGTGCGAGTAGATAAATAGGGACCGCTTACCAGCGGGAAGGTAAACGGCGTTCCGTGTGCTGCGCTGGCTCACCAGATGCAGCTTGTCACGCTGGCCACGTGACCCAGAAGTGTCTGCAGACAGCGCACAACCCTAGAGTCTGGCAAGACTGGCCCGTACGGGCAGGGGTACCTTTACCTTTACCTAACTTCCCTGAGCTGTCAAGTTGAAAGGATACATTCAGGCATAATATTATTAATATTTAACTTTAAAGATGTGCCCCCCCGTAATTTCTGTAACAGCCCCCATTTTCCGAGTAGGAGCTAGGCCTGCATGTCCAAATGATCTTTTCTCTTGCAGACAGCCTAGCTGCTCACCCGGAGGGCATGTGGGCAGCACCCTCAAGCCAGCGCCATGGATCCAGGGCCTGTCAGGAGATCAGCCTACACCCGAGTAGGACCCTGGCAGAGAAACATGCCCGACTGGCATGTTCTCTCCCTCCTGATCGATCGTCCGGGAGCTTCAAAAGCTTTCTTCAGCCCGGACTGATGCCAACCGCCACCGGCACACTTAGGGATCCGCAGAGTATGCACATCATGCATAACAGAACTCAGCATTTTGGCTAATCTACTTTATTTACATCTAAAGACACACGGAGCACTGCAACATGGCTCCCTCTCTCTCCAGCATCAGACAGCAAAGAGAAAAAGAACAAAGGACAATAGTCCCACTTCACGGAACACAAACATCCTGTCTCCGTCACTTCCCACTCTGTGGAGTCAAAACATACACCGTCATGTAAAAGACAACAATCCCATGACTGCAATCATGGAGCAGGAATTCTAACAGGGCCACGGCCTGCTTCTCTGGCTGCCGGGCCCTGCAGACCTTGCCTTCATAATGCATGTGTGAATGAGACAACCAGCCTTGGGCTCCGCAGGCGAGCACCAAAAGGGGGGTTCGGGCACCAAGGACCCAAAATCAGACATCAGGCACGGCGCCTTTTATTGGAAATGGTGTTGTTATGGTAAAATCTGGGTGCGAGGCTGCTCTGCCACCCAGCTCATTGGACTAAGTCCGCGGGTCCCTGCGGAGGAAAATAAGCTCAGCCGGAGACAGGAGCAAGCTGCAGAAGATCCAAGTTCATTGCGCAACAGGTTCAAGGCGAGATTGCACAGCGAGAAAGGGGTGACATGAACTTTTAAAACTTCCCTCCATGTCCCAGAAGACAGTGCAAAATACATCACAGTTACATCATGAATACATTAAGAAGAGGTTGGGTTACACAGATTACATCATGAATACATTAAGAAGAGGTTGGGTTACACAGGATTAACATATGGAGGAGGGAGGGGGGAATATGCAGAGCTGGAGATATGCACAGATAAGTACACCCTGAGTACTGGTGATGAGAAGACAATGGTCCAAGTATGCATAGTCTGCCACCTGGCATTGCCCAGAGGAAAGGCTTGGCGGAGTGATTTGGGGTCTTCCTGAGAGTACGTGGCACCTCGCTTGAGGGATTATGGAGGACAGGGGAGGTGTCATGGAGTCCTAGAGAAACTGAGCCGCTTGGCGCCAAAAGCAAGAAAATCGGTGTTGTGGTTGATTCTATATGAGTTTTTAAAGATTTTAGCCCATTTTATATTGACAATTGAAGTTGGAAACAAAATGGATACATTGTAGTGAGATTTGACACTTTTATGGGTTCACAAGTTTCGATTCCATTGTTCTCCCAGCGGGGAGCCATCAGCCGCTTGTCAAGAGGTTAAATGAGGCGTGCAGGAGCTCGCTGAGCTAGCTCTGCAAGACGAATGCATGGTTCTGATTGGCTAGAACGCACCCATTCAAAAAATAGGAAATACAACTTTATACGGTCTACCCATAGTAAAAATAGAGCGGGAGGCGAGGCATAAGATGTTTGGGCTTATTTCGCCCGTAATAGCGGATCAGTGTAGGAAAGGGGGAAAGGCACTTTATTTATGGGGCTTGGGGTAAAGTGTGGTGCTTGTGCAATGGTGTGGGGGCTGAGGGGTCCATGTGGGGCTGGGTGCCCTTAAGGTCATGGCCTCGGACCCTCTGGTGACCAGCGGAAGGGTGAAGAAGACATGCCCCCCTTCCGTATCACTGTGTACAGATGGGGATGGGGGGGCAAAGACTCCCGTGTGTCTCCCCCCATCACAACCTTGTGTCCCCTGATGCTGCTTCGGGTCAAGTCTGGGTCCCTCTAGGTGACGAGGAGCTGCTGGGAGGCCGGGAGGCCGCAGGATTCTTTATGGGCGTCAAAGAGCTCCTTCAGGGCCTCGACGTAGAGAGTGTGGAAGCTGTTCACCTCGTCCTCGGTGGGGCGCGGGCAGAGCGGGACCGGGATAGGCTTCCCCACTGCAGGAAGGAGAGAAAGAGGGGTGGTTTGGAGGGGTCTGCTCTGCCCCTTGCCCCCCACCCATGGCAGCCAGGGCCTCCCCACCCCAGCAGCTTTGCACCCTGGCTTGGGATTCAGGGGTGGCTTAAGTGCAGGAATGGATGGGACCCCAAGGGTCATTTAGCCCAACCCCTTGATTAATGGCCACCCAACCTCTGCTTAGAAACCTCCAAGGAAGGGGAGAAGGAAGTCGGTGTGTGTGTGCACGCACGCAAGCAAACGCAGCTCCCTCCATAGCAAGCCCCATAAAACGAGCCGGCTCGTTTGATTTCTGCATTGCAGAGGGGTTGGGCTAGATGACCCTTGGGGGTCCCATTCAACTCCACAGGTCTCCAATTCAGTTCTAAGAGAGGGCGAAAGGGAGATGCACCAGAACCTGCTGCTTTGTACGATGCTGAAGAGTTTATGGCTCTTTGCAATCAGGTTGGTGAGTTGGGGGGATTTTGGGGTGCAGGGCGAAGGCTAAGGAAGGACGGGGAGCCTTGTGGGTCCTTACCCACCACCGTGAGGGGGGCAGCCATAGGCTGGATCCCCCAGGAGCGGCTGGAGAAGAGGCCCCTCCCGCTGAAGAGACAAGGGGCGAAGCCAATCAGCTGCTTGAAACCGAGCTGGAAGCAGCGAGCGAAGCTGCCCTCGGGGAAGCGGATCTGTCGGTAAATGTCATTCTCCCCAAAGGTGTAAACGGGCACCAGGTCAGCCCTGCGAGGAGGAAGAGGAGGAAGATTTACTTTCTGTTTTGAGAGAGGGAGAGACAGCATGTCGCTGCGCTCTCCGGGTCGTTGATTTATTTTGCTGCTGTACAATAAATCGCTTCTTAGAAGAAGAAGAAGAAGAGTTTGGATTTGATATCCTGCCTTTCACTCCCTTTAAGGAGTCTCAAAGCGGCTCACATTCTCCTCTACCTTCCTCCCCCACAACAAACACTCTGTGAGGTGAGTGGGGCTGAGAGGTCACCCAGCAGTTGCACCTAATCTGGTTTTTCCCCGGGCAATGGCCTTGGTCCAAGTCACATCATTTGGCGGTTTAAATGGCAATGGTGAAGGACAGCGACCAGAGCAATGTACAGCGCTGGGTGATCGACAGCGGAGCCAGTCATCATCTGCTGCCATCTGGTGGCCAAATGCGGAACTGTAGAGCCGTTTCTGAAGGAAAAACAGTCACTCTTGCCGGTGGATCCAAGAGACAACTGACAACTGTTGGCTCTGTTTTTGTTCCTTTTTTGCAGGCTGAACTGGAAGCATTTGTGGTCCTAGGGATGGAATGCTGTCTTCTTTAGTTAGAGATGGGTTTAAGGTTTGCTTTGAGAATAATGCATGCTCTGTTTCCAGGGGTGGGAACCAGTTAGTCAGTGTTGAATGTCAGAACAGGCTATTCTGGAAACGTCTCAAGCAGGTAAGGGTAACACTGGGTCAGCAAAGGCACAGTGTGCAAATGTTCCCACTCACTATATGTGTCATCATTTGTGGCACAGGAGGATGTCCCCCTGCAATTGGGGATATGTGAGAAAAATACCAGGGTGCATTGAGGGGTGCAAAATTAAGTCATGTGCTAAGTTCCTGGATTGCAGAGCATGCAAGAAGGCAAAGGTAAAAACGTGCAGTTATCCTAGATCTGACAGGGTAACCAAGAAACCTTTTGAGTTGGTTCATGCAGATATTTGTGTGCTGGATGTCAAAGCACTCAGCTGTTCACAGTCGAAACAGACGTTCAGCAGAACAGGTTATGGCTCATAACTCACAGATGGAATGTCGGGTCAGGGAGAGCATTTAATTCAACCAAGAACCTTGCGAAGGTAGGCTAGGCTGTGGGAAGTCCGGGACCTTAGCATATGGAATTCGCGGCCTGTTATACATTAAGAGAAAACTTAATTGGGGAAAAGAGAAGGTCCCAACGAAGGAGGAGTGGCTTTTGAAAGACATGGACCAGGCAGAAATAGCAAAGCTCACAGCAAAATTAAGAGATCAGAATGATGAACTTTTTACAGAAGGATGGAGGCCGTTTGTGGATTACTTAAAAAACATTACAGTCAAATGAAATCATGGACAGAATTCGAGATAAAAGCAGCAGAAGAAAAATGACAAAATAATTGTACTAATTTTTTTGTAATAGATGAAGATACAGCACAGTAGCTTTGAGTAAAAACACTGTGTAGGTGGGAAGCCAACTTATGGAACAGTGGAATTATTTGTTATAAAGGTTACTGTGAAAACGTAAGAAAAATGTAATAAAAAATTACACAACAAGGAAGGGCAAGGACCTTCAGTTCTTGCAATTGCTTCATTGGGGCAAAATCCACCAGGAAACACTGCCATGCTCACTAGGCTGAGATATTGCTGACCTGTGCCTAACATGCCCCCCCGGACCCCCCTCTTGCCCCCTCGGTGCCCTTACCCGTGTTGCAGTGCCAGGCGCACGAAGCCCTTCCTCCCCTGAAGGCGGACGCGCTGCTCTCCGGGGGCGCTGTCCAGCGACTCGGACGCACCCCCCACCACGATGACCACCGCGTGCCCGGGGGGGCCACTCAGGAGGAAGTCCAGGGACCTTTTGTTGACCGGGACCATCCCTGGAAGTGGGAGGAAGCAAAGGGGCTTGTGGGTGTGAAACATCTCCAGGGGTTCCCTGATTTGCAGGGGGTTGGACTAGAGGACCCTCACGATTCTCCTCCAACTCTGAAATTCTGCGAGTCTATTGAAGGGCAAAGGGGTCGCTGGCAAAGGATCAGCGCGTCTGGAAGTGGTTGGAGGAGAGATGGTGGCTAACCGATTGAGGTTGAATCCTGACAAGACAGAAGGACTGTTTTGGGGGGCAAAGGGGGCGGGCAGGTGTGGGGGACTCCTTGGTCCTGAATGGGACAACTGTGCCCCTGAAAGACCAGGTGCGCAGCCTGGGAGTCATTTTGGACTCACAGCTGCCCATGGAGGCACAGGTCAATTCTGTGTCCAGGGTGGCTTTCTCCCAGCTCCACCTGGGACGCAGGATGAGACCCTACCTGCCCGCGGACTGTCTCGCCAGAGTGGTACATGCTCTGGTTGTCTCCCGCTTGGACTACTGCAATGCGCTCTATGTGGGGCTACCTTTGAAGGTGACCCGGAAACTACAACTAATGTAGAATGCAGCAGCCAGACTGGTGACTGGGAGACCACATAACACCGGTCCTGAAACACCTACATTGGCTCCCAGTACATTTCTGAGCACAATTCAAAGTGTTGGTGCTGACCTTGAAAGCCCTAAACGGCCTCAAAGGCCCAGTAGACCTGAAGGAGCTTCTCTACACCCCATCGTTCAGCCTGGATACTGAGGTCCAGCTCCGAGGGCCTTCTGGCGGTTCCCACCCTGCGAGAAGTGAAGCTACAGGGCAGAGGGCCTTCTCAGCAGTGGTGCCCGCCCTGTGGAACGATCTCCCATCAGATGTCAAAGAGAAAAACAATTACCGTAGATTACGGCGTATTAGGGAACTGGGCGTATAAGATGACCCCCTAAATTGGCCACTCCACACCGGGAGGAAGCCACCCAGCAAAACCGGCTTAGCATCGCTGGGCAGCTTCCTCCCGGCGCAGAGCCCGCTGCCGCTGCCCAGCAAACCCATACCTAGCGTATAAGACAACCTCTGACATTTTAGAGAATTTCCCAGGATTAAAAAGTCGTCTTATATGCCAGAATCTACGGTATCTGACTTTTAGGAGACATCTGAAGGGTGCCCTGTTTAGGGAAGTTTTTAATGTTTGGTGTTTTATCATGTCTTTAATATTCTGTTGGAAGCCACCCAGAGTGGCTGGGAAAACTCAGCCAGATGGGCGGGGTATAAATAATAATTATCATCATCATCACCACCATCGTCATTTGCACAAACAAAGGCCCCTTTTTTGCACAGGAGCAAAGAATAGCAGGAAAAACAGCCATTCTTGCTGGGGAATTCTATTCCCAGGGGTTCTGGGAGGGCATTCCTGAGACTGGGGTGGTTCCTCCCATTGGATGGGCCAGGCAGGGTTCTTGAAGATGGTCCTTAGGGGAGGGGCCACCCCACTTCCCCACCCCCCAACCATTCCTCTCTCTGTTGGCCTCACCTGAGCTCATCAGGTAGTCCCGGAAGACAGGCATGCGGAAGAGCCCTGCAAGGAGGGCCAGGCTGGGGCGGAGGCCAGGGAAGGTGCGGGAAAAGCCCGTGGCCTCGGTGCAGAAGGCGGAAAAGGCCCCCGTGCAGAGGATCCCGTGGGGGTGGGAGCCCAGGACGTAGTTCCGCGTCGGGGGCAGCTCGGCCGTCTTCACCAGCTGCAAGGCAAGAGGGGCGAGGCCTTTGGCATTTACGGTAGACCCCCACCTGCATGTCAGAGGCAGTGCACAGATTCCATGGCCAGCAGCCTTTGACAGACACCACCTCCTCCTTCTCCGTGATCTGGTCTCCAGGGGTTCCAGAGACCCTGCCAGCCCCCTTCTCATACCTTGATGGGGAAATAATCCCGGTGGAGCTCCCAGACTCTCCAGCGCCTCATCCAGTCACAGCGGCGCCCACCTGCGAAGACACGGGTTCAGGCAGGGGATGAAGTCAGAGAATTGTGGGGTTGGAAGGGGACCCCCAGGAGTCATCCAGCCCAACCCCCTGCAATGCAGGAATCGCAGCTGAGGAATCCCTGGCAGGTGACCACCCAACCTCTGCTTAAAAATTCATTTAATTATGACGTGTTGATGTTCAATTTTAGTGTTTATTATTGGATTCCAATGGATTATTGCATATTGCTTTACTTGGTATAAATTATTTTAAAATTATTGTGACTTTTTATTTAGGATCTGATTGTTACTATTAATACTAGATATTTTATTATTAGTGTGTGTGTGTGTGTGTGTGTGTGTGTGTGTGTGTGTTGGAAGCCGCCCAGAGTGGCTTGTGCAGCCCAGCCAGATGGGCAGGGTATAAATAAAATTATAATCAATCAATCAATAACAAGGAGCAAGATGATGCTTGGGGTCCCTTCCAACTCTGATTCTATGCTCCTGAAGGTAGGAGTCTATCAATTGATGAAGATGATCATCCAAATGTCATAGACCAAATAGAGCAAACAGCACGCAGACCTACTGGTGGGAGGAAAAAAACCTTAAATAAGAGACATGGGGGAATGATTAATGGACTTCAATGTCTGTACACTAATGCGCAAAGCATGGGAAATAAACAAGATGAGCTTGAGCTCTTGGTACAGCAGGACTCTCCTGTGTGAGTGTCTGAGGGCCCTGCTCTTGCCGCTTGTCATCTACCTGGCCCAGGGTGGGGCCTGAAGCCTCACAGGGACTGCTGCGCTCTGCTGCCCAGGAGGACTCTCCTGTGTGAGTGTCTGAGGGGCCCTGCTCTTGCCGCTTACCATCTACCTGGCCCGGGGCGGGGCCTGAAGCCTCATAAGGACTGCTGCGCTCTGCTGCCCAGGAGGACTCTCCTGTGTGAGTGTCTGAGGGCCCTGCTCCTGGCACTCACCACCTGGCCCGGGGCGGGGCCTGACAGGCCTCACAGGGACTGCTGCGTTCTGCTGCCCAGGAGGACTCTCCTGTGTGAGTGTCTGGGGGCCCTGCTCCTTCCTGCCACTTACCACCTGGCCCAGGGCAGGGCCTGACGGGCATCACTAGGACAGTTGCTGTTACTGCTGGAGGGGTGCAGAGTGCTTTTAAAATGTTTTGTTTGTTTGTTTGTTTTAAATTTCTTTTGAATTTTTTGTAAGTGGGGTGGGTGGGGGTGGGATGGATGTTTATTGGACCTGGGAATTTGTTTGATTTTATGTTTTTGTAATTTTTACTGTTTTTTGTTTGTATTGTTTTATTGGTTGTTTTTTTTAAGGTGTTATTTTGTTCTTAAGGGGAGAGGTCAGGGCTGCCGGGGAGTGGGTCCCAGCCAACAAAATGGCTGGGGCATGTTCCACAGGGGAGGATGCACTGGGACAACCGATCTCAGTGATCACGGGTAGGAGGAGGAGTTACGCTAAGACCAGACCATGTCATTACAGAGGAGGCAGGTTTAGTCGTTGTCTGAGGACTATCCCTGCCTCCGGGTCTGGTCCTGACCGGATGGATACTAGAATCAGCAAGGGATACCCACATGACCTGAAGGTGCTGCTGTGCAATGCCAGGTCAATGACTCATAAGACCACTGCCATCCATGATTTGATCATGGATGGAGGACTTGACCTGGCATGTGTAACAGAGACTTGGTTGGATGAAGCAGATGGGCCTGTCCTTGCCGCCGCTTGTCCACCAGGTTTCTCTTACGCACAGCAACCCAGGTCATGTGGGCGGGGAGGGGGGGTTGCAGTGATTTTTAGGAAGTCATTAGTCTGCACCAGGCGTCCTATTGGGAAGACCCAGTTTTCTGAGTGCATGTTCTGGAAGTTGGGCAATAGGGGCAGTACAGGATTCCTTTTGGTGTACCGACCTCCCCGCTGCACCAAGGATTCCCTGCCCGAGCTGCTTCAGGTCGTGGCGGATGTTCTCCTGGAGACACCTAGCTTGGTCGTCCTAGGGGATTTTAACATCCATGCCGACACGACCTTACAAGGGCTGCTCGGGACTTCGTGGAAAGCATGGCCTCCATGGGGCTGTCCCTGAATAAGTCTGGCCCAACACATAGCCGCGGACATGCCTTGGACCTGGTGTTTACCTCTATGGATGTTGGTGATCTGACACTAAGTAAAAGCGAAACGAAAGAAGTGCCATGGTCAGATCACTTCCTGGTGCAACTGGACTTCTCTGCGACCCATCCCCTCTGCAGGGAGGTGGGACCAATTCGGATGGTCCGCCCCCGCCACTTAATGGATCCAAATGGTTTCCAGAGAGTGGTAGGGGATGCTTTATCCCATGTTGATGGCCTTTCAGCTGATTCCCTGGTGGCCCGCTGGAATGTGGAGTTAACCAGGGCTATTGACTGTTTGGCTCCGAAGCGCCCTCTCCGATTGCATGGAGCCCGGACAGCCCCGTGGTTTTCCATGAAGCTGAGGGCAATGAAACAATCGTTGAGACGGCTAGAGCGCCGGTGGCGGATAACTCATTCCGAATCTGACCGGACACAGGTTAGAGCTCAACGTCGAGCCTACCAAGTGGCGATAGCGACGGCGAAGAAGAATTTCTTCACCGCCTCTATTGCATCTGCAGAAAACAGCAGCAGGAGACTTTTTCAGGTGGTTCACAATTTAGCGGAACCACCTGCAACATCGGGGCCCAGTACGGGCCACATGTTCTCCTGCAATGATTTTGCAAAGCTTTTTGCAGATAAAATCGCTCAGATTCGGGAAGAAGTAGACTCCACCGTGGGAGCAGGGCCGGGGTGGGAGAGTGCTAGAGTTCTGTCTAGTCAAGTTGAGTGGGATCAATTCCAATCTGTTACCGCCGAGGATGTGGACAGGCTGCTTGGACGAGTGAAACCAACCACCTGTCTCCTGGATCCTTGCCCATCCTGGCTTATAAAAGCTAGCCGGGAAGGACTGGGCGATGGACTTCGTGGAGTGGTGAATGCTTCCCTCCGTGAGGGAGCCTTCCCAGACCCGCTGAAAGAGGCGGTTATTAAACCGCTTCTTAAAAAACCATCTTTAGATGCGGCCACGATGGCCAATTATCGCCCAGTCTCAAATCTTCCATTCTTGGGCAAGGTGATTGAGCGAGCGGTTGCCGAACAACTCCAGGCACGCCTGGAAGAAGCGGACCATTTGGATCACTTCCAGTCGGGATTCAGGCCTCATCATGGGACTGAAACTGCCTTGGTCGCACTGGTTGATGATCTCCGGCGGGCTAGGGACAAAGGTGAGAGCTGTTTCCTAGTTCCTCTGGATCTCTCAGCGGCGTTTGATACCATCGACCATAACATCCTTCTGGACCGTCTTCAGGGGCTGGGAGCTGGGGGCACTGTTATACAGTGGTTCCGCTCCTTCCTCCTGGGCCGTGTCCAGAAAGTGGTAGGGGGGGATGAGTGTTCAGACCCCTGGGCTCTCACTTGTGGGGTGCCTCAGGGTTCTGTCCTCTCCCCCATGCTTTTCAACATCTACATGAAGCCGCTGGGAGAGATCATCAGGGGATTTGGGCTGGGTGTTCATCAGTATGCAGATGATACCCAGCTCTACCTCTCTTTTAAATCAGAACCAGTGAAGGCAGTGAAGGTCCTGTGTGAGTGCCTGGAGGCGGTTGGAGGTTGGATGACGGCTAACAGATTGAGGTTGAATCCTGACAAGACAGAAGTACTGTTTTTGGGGGACAGGACGCGGGCAGGTGTGGAGGATTCCCTGGTCCTGAATGGGGTAACTGTGCCCCTGAAGGACCAGGTGCACAGCCTGGGAGTCATTCTGGACTCACAGCTGTCCATGGAGGCACAGGTCAAATCTGTGTCCAGGGCAGCTGTTTACCAGCTCCATCTGGTACGTAGGCTGAGACCCTATCTGCCTGCGGACTGTCTCGCCAGAGTGGTGCATGCTCTGGTTATCTCCCGCTTGGACTACTGCAATGCGCTCTACGTGGGGCTACCTTTGAAGGTGACCCGGAAACTACAACTAATCCAGAATGCGGCAGCTAGACTGGTGACTGGGAGCGGCCGCCGAGACCATATAACACCGGTCTTGAAAGACCTACATTGGCTCCCAGTAAGTTTCCGAGCACAATTCAAAGTGTTGGTGCTGACCTTTAAAGCCCTAAACGGCCTCGGTCCAGTATATCTGAAGGAGCGTCTCCACCCCCATCGTTCTGCCCGGACACTGAGGTCCAGCTCCGAGGTCCTTCTGGCAGTTCCCTCACTGCGAGAGGCCAAGTTATAGGGAACCAGGCAGAGGGCCTTCTCGGTAGTGGCACCCGTCCTGTGGAACGCCCTCCCATCAGATGTCAAAGCGATAAACAACTACCTGACATTCAGAAGACATCTTAAGGCAGCCCTGTTCAGGGAAGTTTTTAATATGTGACATTTTAGTGTATTTTTTATCTTTGTTGGAAGCCGCCCAGAGTGGCTGGGGAAACCCAGCCAGATGGGCGGGGTACAAATAATAAATTATTATTATTATTATTATTATTATTATTATTATTATTATTAACTAAATATGACATAATAGGCATCACTGAAACCTGGTGGGATAAGTCCCACGATTGGAATGTAATAATGGAGGGATACAATCTATTTCAGAGATTTAGAACCTCAAAGCCAAAGTGAGAGCATTTGGGTCAAAATTAAGGGAGAGAAGAATAACAGTGACCTCATTGTGGGAGTTTACTATAGATCCCCAAGCCAAACAGAGGACATAGATGATGCCTTCCTGGGAACAGATGGCCAAGCATGCAAAAGGAAGGGAGATAGTAGTAATGGGGGACTTCAATTACCCGGATATTTGTTGGATGTCAAACTCAGCCAAGAGCATAAGGTCAAACAGATTCCTCACTGGCCTTGCAGACAACTTCATTGTCCAGAAAGTGGGAGAAGCAACAAGAGGAACAGCCATTTTAGATCTGGTCCTAACCAATGTTGATGACCTGGTTAGTGGGGTAGAAGTGGAAGGATCATTAGGCGCGAGTGATCATGCTCTTCTGAAGTTTACTATACAGCGGAAAGGAGCAGCCAAGCATACTAGGACTCAATTTCTCGACTTTAAGAAAGCCGACTTCATAAAACTTAGGGAAGTGCTGGGTGAGATCCCATGGACTGTAATACTAAAAGGAAAGGGAGTTCATGATGGCTGGGAGTTTGTTAAGAGGGAGATAGTAAAAGCACAACTTCAGGCAATACCAATGAGACGGAAACATGGAAGGTGCCTAAAGAAGCCAGGGTGGCTATCTAAAGAACTTTTAACTGAGTTAAGATTAAAAAAGGATGTGTACAAAAAATGGAAAAGGGGGGAAACCACCAAAGAGGAATTCAAACTAATAGCCAGCACGTGTAGACACAAAGTCAGAAAAGCTAAAGCACAAAATGAACTCAGGCTTGCTAGAGAGGTTAAAAGCAACAAAAAAGGCTTTTATGGGTATGTCCGTAGCAAAAGGAAGAACAAAGAAACAGTGGGGTCACTCAGAGGAGAAGATGGTGAAATGCAAACAGGGGACACAGAAAGGGCTGAACTCCTCAATGCCTTCTTTGCCTCAGTCTTCTCCGATAAAGAAAACAATGCCCGACCTGAAGAATTTGGAGCAAATGATTCAGCAGAGGAAACACAGCCCAGAATAACTAAGGAGATGGTACAAGAATACTTGGCTAGTTTAGATGTATTCAAGTCTCCAGGGCCAGACGAACTGCATCCAAGAGTATTAAAAGAACTGGCAGATGGGATCTCAGAACCACTGGCAGTCATCTTTGAGAATTCCTGGAGAACAGGCGAAGTCCCGGCAGACTGGAGGAGGGCAAATGTTGTCCCTATTTTCAAAAAGGGGAAAAGAGAGGACCCAAATAATTATCGCCCAGTCAGTCTGACATCAATACCAGGGAAGATTCTGGAGCAGATCATTAAGCAAACAGTCTGTGAGCACCTAGAAAGGAATGCTGTGATCTCCAATAGTCAGCATGGATTTCTGAAAAATAAGTCATGTCAGACTAACCTGATCTGGAGAAGAGGAGGTTAAGGGGTGATATGATAGCCATGTTCAAATATATAAAAGGATGTCATCTAGAGCAGTGTTTCCCAACCGGTGTTCCGCGGCACACTAGTGTGCTGCGAGACGTTGCCTGGTGTGCCGCGAAATGTTGCCTGGAGGGAGGCGGGCGAGTCGGGCGGCGAGAGGCAGGGCGGCGGCGGCGAGGAGAGGCCGCCCAGCGCGGGCTCGCCGTCTGCCTGCCTGGCTGCCTGCGTGGCGCTGACGTCACGGGGCTGTAACGTGCCCCACATAGGCACACGCGGGGCGGCGAGCGAGCTCCCTCCCACATCCCATCGCCGCTCGCTTCGGCCGGTCTACTGGGCTGTCGCAGGCGGAAGGCCTGCGCATGCGCGAGGTTTTCGCGCCTTCGGGATTCCCTTCACGCCTTCCTCCTCCCGGGTCCTTGAGAGCGCGGGAAGCGGCAGCGCGAGACCGGCGTTGAGCCTGGTAGGTATTGCGCTTGCCAAGGCAGTCATTTGGGAAATGAAAACTTGCAAAGCAAGCAACCAGTTCAATCTGAAGTAACTGTATGCTTCATATCCTGTATCTGAAACCTGTTCTGCCCCCTCCCCCACACTTGGTGCCATTTTCATCTACACATGCAGCAGAGTAAGTTGACCCAGAATAGTACCAATTCAGATGGCAGATGGGAGAATGACAGTGCTGAATGCTTTCCCATGTAGAACAGTCCCTGCAAATAAAAACCTAGCATATTTGGAAGAGGGATGCTAGCCTAACCATTACCTTCTATGCTGTTACTATTTTTTTATTTTTTTTTACATAAGTAAAAAGTGACCTTTCCCCATCTGGCATGGTGGTGTGCCTCGAGATTTTTTTCATGAAACAAGTGTGCCTTTGCCCAAAAAAGGTTGGGAAACACTGATCTAGAGGAGGGAGAAAGGTTGTTTTCTGCTGCTCCAGAGAAGCGGACACGGAGCAATGGATCCAAACTACAAGAAAGAAGATTCCACCTAAACATTAGGAAGAACTTCCTGACAGTAAGAGCTGTTCGACAGTGGAATTTGCTGCCAAGGAGTGTGGTGGAGTCTCCTTCTTTGGAGGTCTTTAAGCAGAGGCTTGACAACCATATGTCAGGAGTGCTCTGGTGGTGTTTCCTGCTTGGCAGGGGGTTGGACTCGATGGCCTTTGTGGTCTATTCCAACTCTATGATTCTATGATTCTATGTTATATTTTGGGGAAGGTTCTTTTGATTCGTGTCAATTACAGGATTTCGTGTGTATTTTTATAGCAAAATTTAATAAATAATGATAAATACATCAATAAATGCAGCTGATTTTTCTGCCCTCCATACAGAGAGAGAGAGAGAGAGAAAGATGAAATGCCTTCTGCCATTGTGTCATTTATTGGAAGCTGTCTTGGAAAATAGATAACAGTAAATAGCATTGAGGAAAACAGGTTTGGGATGGTCGCAAGCTGCCCCAGGGGAAGGGGGTGAGTTGGAGGAAGAGGGGCAGGGTGAGGCAGCAGCTCCAGCTGTGTGGGTCTGGGTGTGGGGCTCAGCACCCTTCTCAGACAAGGAGAGGCGCCTTTCACCTGCCCTCCGGGTAGGGTTGGGGGCAGTGCCGGATTTACCTATAAGCTAAACAGGCTATAGTTTAGGGCCCCAGTCCCTTGGGGGCCCCAAAAAAATTAAAGGAAAAAACCCTGGATGTACATTTCCGAAATATAAGATAAAAAACAAATAAAATAAAGCCTACCTACAGGAACAGTGTTTTGTGTTGTGTAGGCTACTATGATGTAAGTCATGGGCCCCGCCTTCTAGCCTGTTCCCTAAAATATCCCTGATTCGCTCATTTCTATATATAGGGTACCTACGATCCGCATCTGGGACCTGGGTGGCGCTGTGGGTTAAACCACTGAGCCTAGGACTTGCCGATCAGAAGGTCAGCGGTTCGAATCCCCACAACGGGGTGAGCTCCCATTGCTCGGTCCCTGCTCCTGCCAACCTAGCAGTTTGAAAAGCACGTCAAAGTGCAAGTAGATAAATAGGTACCGCTCCAGCGGGAAGGTAAACGGCATTTCCATGCGCTGCTCTGGTTCACCAGAAGTGGCTTATTCATGCTGGGCACATGCCGGTTCCCTTGGCCAATAAAGCGAGATGAGCGCCGCAAACCCAGAGTCGGCCACAACTGGACCTAATGGTCAGGGGTCCCTTGACCTTTACCTTACGATCTGCATGGACTGGTTGCATGGCTTGAGATACTTATTAGGTCCGTCAATTACCTTATAGAATATATTCAACACAAAAAACAGTGACAATTTGTTGTGGACAAAGGACAGCTGGACATATAAAGGGCCCCATCACCTTCAGTAGCTTAGGGCCTCATCAAACCCCAATCCGGCCCTGGTTGGGGGGAATCGAACTCACCTCTCTGTGGCGTATCCCAGTCGAAGATCCACCAGGCAAAATACAGGACGCTGATAGGCCAGTAGGAGGTGAAGAGCAGGTAGACCAGGAGAACGGAGAAGAAGGGACCTGGGGGGTCGGGGGAGGGAAGGAGATTCTGTGGGATCTTGTTTTTATGTTGTATGCTGGATATGTGATTGCAAAATTCTGATTTGAAAAACCAAATAAATTAATTTTTTTAAAAATGAAACCAATATCGCAATGTGGACATCAAACTGGTTGTGGATGATATATCAATATATCGCCCAACACTACCCACAAGCAGCGCTGGGATTCAGAGGCCCTGCCTTGGACCACAACCCCAATTTCACGGGACCCCCGAGGATGTGATCTGAAGCCCCCCTAAACCCAGAAGAACATGTTAGGTTGGAAGGGGCACCCCAGGGCCATCTAGCCCAACCCCCTGAGGTGCTGACTCCCTAGTCCAGACTCACCTGGCCCAAAGCTGCTTTGAAAAGAAGAGGGGGTTTGGCTTTTGGGGGAGGGGGTGAAATAAAAAAATAAGGTCTTTTATATATATAATAAATGTTCATAAATGTACCAAGCAAACACGTACATAAATATATAAACCACATGTCTGAAGCTGCACAGGAAAACAGCCCTGGAACCATTTTGACCCCCAAACCGACCAAACGATTTCTCTGCAAGGTCGAAGGAAAATGGAAAAGCCTCCTCATTGTCTTTTCCTTCACAAATCCTGTCTGAAGGGTATGTCTGTGTATGAATAGGGTGAGCCTGTGACCTGGCTCAGGAACTAAGTATTTATCATTGCAACAGACTGGCCAGGCTCCCCAGGGTATCCAATCAAGTGAGCATTAACAGGTGACCTGCCAGACAGGAGATAAACAACGCACTCAGATTTCTGTTGTAGACTGCCCTTTCTGTGATGTAGGTGTGATGTTTCTGGGGGGTGGTCTTGAGCTACATCCCTTCTGTGATGTAGGTATGATGTGTCTGGGGGTGGTCTTGGACTCCAGGGCTGGCAATTTAAAATGTCTATATGAGGGTGGGCACACCTTTGTTCAGGGTCCTCCTCCTCCTCCTACGTGTGGGGAGTGAGGACCCTGTTGCAAGAGTTCAATAAAGAGCAGGCTTACTAGCTGCTTTGCTTCTCAATATTATCTGCTTGGCCTCTGTTCTTTTCTCCGACTGATGGAGAACCTGCAAAGGACTCTAGAAGGGCTCTTGTGTCCCCCATAATGGGAAAAGGGCAGTTTTCCTTTTATTACAGGGGCCTGGCCTGCCAGAGGACCTCCCAAAGGCCATGGCCCCAGGAAGAGGAAGAGGCCAAGCTGCCCCTCTTCCCTGAGCACCCCCTGCCCCTCCCTCCCCCCCCCAGCTCCCAACTTACCAAAGAAGAAGAAGGTGAGGACCCACTGGAAGACGCTAAGGGCCTCCAGGTGTTTCTTCAGAGACATCTTCTGACCCTGGGTCTCAGGAAGAGATCCTGGGGGGGAGGAAATCCACAGGGGGGGAGTTGTGGGGGGGGGATCTGCAGCAGGACTCCAGCCAGGAGGGGCCCCTGCCTTGGCAGAAGGGAGAGCGTGAAGACGCAGGTGTGTTCAGCACAGGTGGCCTCTGACCTGCATCCCAAAGCCCAGCTGCTCCCCTTCAGCCTTGCCCTCAGGAAGGGGGCAGCATGTGGGGCGAAAGGAGGAGGAGGAAAGAGGCTCACTTGTCCAGGAGAAGAAGTCTTGCCCGCGGCTGCAATGCACAAGTCTCTCTCTGCCACCTGCACTTTGGTAGCCAGGTGAGTTGGCAATAAGGATGCTGCTGGCACCCAGGTGAGGCAAAGGAGACCTGGCTGAGCTCTCCTCCTCCGAAAGGAGACAAGGTGTGTCATTTCATTCCTGACCTTAAAAAGGTCGAGCCCAGTGGCTCCCAAAGTGGGCGTGCCCAGAGGACCTTCAGATTCATTTCTTTTGACTCCCAGCCCTGCCTGGCACCTGCCTTGCTGGCCCTCGGCTCCCTCCCCTTGGCCCTCATCCCAGGGCCGCCCCGCCCTCTTGGCCCACAAGACAAAGGTTGGGGTGCCAGGATCGATTGCCCCATCTGCCTGCCTCCCTTCTCCAAACCACAGAGGAGATAATCATCATCATCATCCTCATCAAATTTTATTTATATCCTGCCCTTCCCAGCCAAAGCCGGGCTCAGAGCAGCATAAAATGCCATAAAAAGCAGGGAAGAACCGTTTTCAAAACAACAGACGTATTTCAAAAACAGTGGAACTTACGGTAGAACCATAAAGCGGTATAGTTGGAAGGGACCCCAGGGGTCATCCAGCCCAACCCCTTGCAAGCAGGAATCGCAGCTTTGGTGGCTCTAGGGAAAAAAGAGTGAGTTGACTTGAGCCGGGAGGGGTGGGCAGAGGTAGAAATTACGCAAACCTTTTTCTGGCAACGACATTGCTTCCTGCCTCAGGGCAGGGCAGCCTCTCTACAAATTAGCATTTATATATCCCAATACTTTCCTCCAGAAATCTGTAAGCATCAGACATTGCATAAGCATAGGCTTCAAAGAGGCGTATTCTCGTTTTGACACCTCCAGCAAGACGTCCTTGTAGATCATCCCTTTCTATACTGATGTATCAGAGCCCAATATTATTTTTTGTTGTATAAGACGTAGTTTATAATCTAATGGCAGATTAGGAAGGTAAAACACTGGTTTACAAAAAAATATATATCAAAAAATCAAAACAATCCAATGAAAACATGAACACCCACAATTAAAATCCACAAATAAACATCAGGTGCCTGGAGGGCCTTCGGAATTCTGGGACTGTCCCTGGAAAATCAAGACACTTGGAGGGTATGGCAGGAAACTCTTAATCTCAAGGTCGTGGGTTCGAGCCCAAGCTGGGCCAGAGGTTCCTCTTTTTCATTTTTTCATTTTCAATTTTACAAAGAATCAAAATGCAAACATCATATTTCCTTTGACTCCCCCGCCCCCCCTTAGTGGACCCTTAGGTTACAATTTTTGTCCTGCATCTCCTCCCAGACTCCAGTTATTATAAGTCCTTACTCCAATCCATGATTCGAATTTTTACTACACGTTTTCTGTCAAACCTACGAGGGATTGTTGTTGTTTACAATAATTTTTTTTCAAATGCATTTTAAACTCTCCCCATTCTTTATTGAAATAAGATTCTTCCTGGCTCCTGATTCTTCCGACGAATTCTGCATTGCGGGGGGGGGGGGGGGTTGGACTAGATGACCCCCCGGGTTCCCTTCCAGCTCTACCATCCTGTCAGTGTTCATAAGTTGCCCACACATAAAATAATAGAATAGCAGAGCTGGAAGGGGAGGGTCATTAGTCTATACCCCCCCCCGTGCAATGCAGGAATATTTGGCCCAGCGTGGGGCCCGAACCCATAACCCAGGAATGGGGAGGTGGGTTGGCTGGGGGTGGGGAGAGAGAGGAAAGAGACCCCAGCCAGGAACTGCATGGTTTTTAAGGAAGGGGGGGAGGAGAGGGGGAAGACTGATTTCCACCTACCATATTTTTCGCTCCATAAGACGCACTTTTTTCTTCCTAAAAAGCAAGGGGAAATGTCTGTGCGTCTTATGGAGCGAATGTGTGGTCCCTGGAGCCGAATTGCCCAGGGGCGAAAAGCAGATCATGCTTCTTTTTTTGAAAGAGGGAAGGGGGTGTTGAAACAAATCCTCTGATCGGCAAGCGATCGGGAGCGAGACAAGGGAGGCTAGAGGTAAAGGAGGCTGCCTGGGAGGGGGAAGGTAAAAGCCCATGGATCCTCAGGATTTTTGCATTGGGTCACCCCAAATTCACCACCAGATCACATAGCATGTCCGTGACTACAGCCTGCACCAAAAAAATCACGCACCCACTGTTTTGTGGGGCCGCAATGCGGCAAAAACGTGGTTACAAAGCACAGATCCACATGGATCCTCAGGATTTTTGCATTGGGTTGTAGCCTTTCAGGCCTTTCCCACGGGTCGGGTGTGCATTGCTCCTGTCAGCGAGCCAAGAAAGTTGTGAGAAGGCTGATCAGCTGGATGCGCTGCTGGCGGCCAGGTCATCTTTTCCTGAGAAGAGGAGAAAGCTTTCTTCCTTTCAGCTACTTTGTGTTATGCTTTGTGTTATACAGCAGAGCTAATGCATTTTAGGTTTGCATCCTCAAAGAAAGAATTTGGGAAGTCTTGAGGCCTAGTTGGGGTGACCACACACTAATTGGGGTGACCACACAGTCAGGATTTGGGTATCCTGTCCCTTCATTCCTCTTTTATTTTGGACAGCCTTCCGGGGTGCAGTGGCAATCGGCTCATAAATCCACATGGAAGGAATTAAATAGGCTGGAAGCACACTCCATACCATCCCTTTGGCAGGATATGATAAGCCCGCTTTCCACACACCCAATGCACATCATGTTCTTGAGCAGAGACACCACCTCCCCCTTCTGAAGCCCTCGCCAAGTGCGTCAGGAATGTAGTTAGATTACAGCCAGAAAGAGATCCTAGTGCGGACTCAGTCACGGTTGTCTGGGCTGGGAAGGTGCGATTACAACGGGAGGTCCCCACATATGTCAGATGTTACTGGCGCCCTCAGACTGGTTCACACACAGCCATCCAGTAATTCGGTGAAAAGGGATAGAATGGTTCCATCAAAAAGAATAGTTTCCCAGAGGGCGGAAGCCAAAAATTGGGGCCGTAACTGAGGATTCATTCCGAGGCACAGGGAGGAGGGGCATTCCTCCCAAAGCATCTGTAGGTCCCAGAGTGCAGACCGTGCAATTGGTTCGGTTTGCAGAATAAGCCCCCATTTCAGCCATTTGCAGCTGTTTATTATTCGTGTTGTGGGCACCCCACTCCCGCATTAGCTGCTTGGTCTCCTAAAGGGGTGTGGGCACACTGACGGCCAGAGGCAGTAAAAATACCACCATGGCCAAAACCATAGTCACCCACAGCCCTGTCTGCACCACTTGGGCTCAGGGATCTATTTATCTATTACCTAGTAGGTTCTTACCTAGCAGGTGCTTAAGCAGTATGTGGACCAAGAACTCCCAGAAGTGCAAGCTGGATTTCGAAGGGGCAGAGGAACCAGAGACCAAATTGCAAACATGCGCTGGATTATGGAGAAAGCTAGAGAGTTCCAGAAAGACATCTACTTCTGCTTCATTGACTATGCAAAAGCCTTTGACTGTGTCGACCAAAGCAAATTATGGCAAGTTCTTAAAGAAATGGGAGTGCCTGATCACCTCATCTGTCTCCTGAGAAATCTCTATGGGGGACAAGAAGCTACAGTTAGAACTGGATATGGAACAACTGATTGGTTCAAAATTGGGAAAGGAGTACGGCAAGGCTGTATCTTGTCTCCCTGCTTATTTAACTTATATGCAGAATTCATCATGCGAAAGGCTGGGCTGGATGAATCCCAAGCTGGAATTAAGATTGCCGGAAGAAATATCAACCACCTCAGATATGCAGATGACACAACCTTGATGGCAGAAAGTGAGGAGGAATTAAAGAACCTTTTAATGAGGGTGAAAGAGGAGAGCGCAAAATATGGTCTGAAACTCAACATCAAAAAAAGGAAGATCATGGCCACTGGTCCCATCACCTCCTGGCAAATAGAAGGGGAAGAAATGGAGGCAGTAAGAGATTTCACTTTCTTGGGCTCCGTGATCACTGCAGATTGTGACAGCAGCCACGAAATTAAAAGACGCCTGCTCTTGGGAGAAAGGCGATGGCAAAGCTAGACAGCATCTTAAAAAGCAGAGACATCACCTTGCCAACAAAAGTCCGTATAGTTAAAGCTCTGGTTTTCCCAGTAGTGATGTGTGGAAGTGAGAGCTGGACCATAAAGAAGGCTGGTCACCGAAGAATGGATGCTTTTGAATTCTGGTGCTGGAGGAGACTCTGGAGAGTCCCATGGACTGCAAGAAGACCAAACCTCTCCATTCTGAAGGAAATCAGCCCTGAGTGCTCCCTGGAAGGACAGATCCTGAAGCTGAGGCTCCAAGACGTTGGCCACCTCGTGAGAAGAGAAGACTCCCTGGAAAAGACCCTGATGTTGGGGAAGATAGAGGGCAGAAGGAGAAGGGGACGACAGAGGGCGAGATGGTGGGACAGTGTTCTCGAAGATGCCAGCATGAGTTTGACCAAACTGCGGGAGGCAGTGGAAGACAGGAGTGCCTGGCGTGCTCTGGTCCAGGGGGTCACAAAGAGTCAGACACGACTAAACGACTAAACAACAACAACTTGAGCTACAAGATGGGCAATTTCAAAAGTCTATATAAGGGCTTGCACACCATTGTTCTGGGTTCCTCCTCCCTCCTGCGTGGGGGTGTGTGTGAGACCCTCTTGCAACAATTTAATAAAGATAAGGCTTACTAGCTGCTTTGCTTCTCAATATTCTCTGGTTGGCCTCTGCTATTTTCTCCTACCGATAGGGAACCCACGTAAGGACTCTTGGATACGCCATAAGGGAAAGGGAGCAGATTTTGTTTACATCATCAGGAAGAGCACTTTTGAAAAGAGGCTTTGGCCATCCCAGGAGGAGGGGAGAACCGAGCCAGTGGCGGACTGGCCAGGGTGTCAGCTTGCCCAATGGCAAGTGGGCCATCTTAAATATTAGACAATAAGTTTAAAAGGTTAATTACCTTTGAGCCTTCTTCATGGATCACTGCCTTGTTGTGGCCAAGGGGCTTGAATAACTCAGAGAAGCTATGAGCTATGCCGTGCAGGACCACCCAAGATGGACAGGTCATAGTGGAGAGTTTGGACTAAACGTGATCCACCTGAAGCAGGAACCAGCAAGCCACTGCAGTATCCCTGCCAAGAAAACTCCACGGACAAAAACAACAGGCATACTCTTGACTGCAAGAAGATCCAACCTCTCCATTCT